AAACCTATTACCATTGCAGCAAAGTAAACTTGTCCCTATAAAAGGGCTCACATATGGGGTCAAAGTTAAATGCATGATCCAAGAAGAAATCTGGAACATGCTTATCACATTTGTTTAAACTGCAGACAGTTTTATGAAGTAAGGCGATGGCGACATCTAAAGTACATCTACCATGATTGCAAGATGTATTTCCGGTCACTCAAAAAACTTGAATGGAAGTTCGAGATTACGCAAGAGCAAATTTCCATTATCTTCAGAAATGGGGCCGTAGTAGCACTTGGTTAACTTAACATATGATCCGCTTGATGATTCAGACACCTGGAGGATTTTTCATTTAGTAGAGGCAAATCGTTTGTTCGAGTTACTAGGATTTCTGCTGAAGACGTTCGGAAGACTGCATTTTGTCAGTCTCTTCACCCAGGAGAACAGTACCACCTACATTCTCTAAGTCGATGAAATATTTCCCCAGTAACAAGTTAACTTCCAAGTAGCTGTTGTCGATTAGGGCCACTTTCGTCAGTTCATCTACAATGAAACAAGACAAAAACGGAGACAACGATTAACCCTGACGGATTCCAATAGCTGTCACTACTTCTCAAGACAAACATCTCCACACGGCTGCGAGGGTTGGAGTAGAGTGCCTTGATAATTGTGACAAACATTTTCGGCAATTCCCGGCCAGAAGTTGCCACGCATCACTAGGTCAAGAGAGTTAAATGTCGCCTGAACGTAACGAAACATTGCAACAACTTGTTGCCGCCAAGTATGCCTACGTCCTAGAATTTGTTGAAGGGTTAAGGTAAGGTCTACACTCCGGCACAAAGCCAACACAGCTTTCAGCAGTTTGTTCCTCCCTGACACAACTTAGTAGTTTACGCGCTGTTACTAAGACTAGAACTTCAAATGCTATATAAATCATGCTAATGACTTGATGACTATCACCGGAAGACTTTTCCTCCGTATAAAGTGGGATAAACGGTGATCTCCGACTCTGCAGTGAGACTGCCTTGAGCCATCTATTTATCGTCATTTACCCAGAGAATGATTCATCACCACTGTCTTTAAATGCTTCCGTGGCTATTCCATCAAGTTTCTCTGCTTCTCCCCGTTCCGGGTTAGAGATGCCTTTTGTAAGATGTGGTTAGAGTCGGAGGATCGATATCTACATCACACTCGGATAGACGTTAAGTGCTGGGTAAATTTGGCGTATCTGTGGGCCAGTCAGACTTCTGCCCGCCCCCCACAACATTCCAGTTATCTACCCTGAAACAGAAATGAGAATGTCTCACTTACCCAAAGTATTCATCCATCCAGTCGTTGACATATACGTTCACAGACCACAAGATGATCCAGGTTTGCTCGGCTGTTCTAGAACTAGTGAAAACTTTCTACCGACTTTCTGCGCCGATGGCTTATAGCTATGCAGTCTGTCTGAGTTTATGGCTGATTCGATGATGGATCGTGTTATTATCTGGACAGAATTATAAGGGGTGATTACCGTTCTCGGTTCACCGATATGGCACTCCGCACAAGCCACATGCATACTTTTCTGACGCGCACATCTCTGGTGATTGGGCATCGAAGCCACCTGCCAAAATGATAACATCTAACAGTTTTGCTTTGAGCAGCACACTATACAGCTCTTGGTAGAACTTATCGTTAAAAATGCAGTCGATGGTAGGCTGAAATTATGAAAAGAATATCTCATCACCTATAAGAAGACTGTGCGTCGATGGTACAGCGGTGGAATGCCCACAAACGACGCGTATGGTTCGGGGTTCGGTCCCCGGCCGACGCGCTTGTTTTCAGATAATTCGACTGGTCCCCACCTATTAAGTCGGTCAATTACGTTGAACTCACAATCATCGCAAGGTATTTTGTAGGTCAAATTACTTTGTGTAGTCACGTCACTTGGATGCATTAGTCCGCAAAGCTTGCCACCGAGTGGGTTTGTTGGCTTAAATATCACCCAAACCTCTGCTTTATGAGGGATCCCACGTAGTGTTTCGGATGGTGAAATATCAGGTGCCTTCTTTCTTATTAATGTCATAATTAGTGGTTTCACCTCTACTTTCTTCCCTTATTGTGAGTTTTTATGACGCCCCTGCATGGGATGAATGTTTAGTACTAACTCCTCTTCTGTCCATTCTATTTCATTACTTGATGTTTCTGATGCACCACTCAGAAGTTTCGCTCAGTCTGAGTGCCCCGACTTTTTATAATTTCTGATACGTGATGCTACTTTTCCTGCCCGCTAACTTTACAGTCTGACCTAGTTAATTGTTCTGGTTCAAATGTAAATTAAATTCCCTCCACAGATGAGTTTGTCGTTAGACGGCTGGAGACGATCGAAAGAATGCCTTGGACCAAGTATTCGTGCTTGATGGTGCTCATCAACAAGTCGCACCTGAAGTGTTGGAGGAATTTATATCATTTCTGGGATTCGAACCCGAGCTTCCCAGTTCAGCAGACAGAGATGTTATCACTGAGTTATCCGGGCTTATGACTGACCTTCTGTCAGACTTTAATCGATACTTTGGTTGAATTTATGTAGTAACTAATGCCAAACGTCTAATCTGCTGTTTGGTGCACCATGATGGTGAGTCACCAAGCATAGTGGCCACATCATAAACTTGACTGAAGATCCAGTCTGCACGAAACGAAGAACTAGATACATGATATTGGTTATTGCCTGTTGTTCATTCAAAACACCGGTGATTTTGTTTGTATGTAAAGGCCAGAGGCATGCACAGTTTTTAACACTGTGAAAGTATCGTCCACATCTGGGATTAACATTTATCAAGTGTATGTATAATCTCCGGCGAACATGTAAAGCAAATCTTGCTACCACCTGTAAATTGTGATTGAATTATATGGTGCTATTTCTGTAACAATTTGATGATGCCTGTAAACTGGCGTCCCTCATGTACTGTACTTTGAGAATAAATTTATTTATTCATCTCCACCACACTCTGAATAAGATTAAATTCATTAGGAACCATGTGTTTCCAATTAACCGTAAAGATATCTGCTACGATTAGCGATACTGGTGGTCCCATTGCTACCCCGCCTGTTGGCCTCTATATTTCGTCCGCAATTCAAAGACGGTAAAGTGGAACATTATTGAACCCTTACAAAAATTTTCTGATTGCGTGGCATGTCCTCGAATAAGTTCGGGATCAGTTAGTTTTGTTTCTAGCTAGTTTCAGAGTCATAGAGATTGGTATATTATTATGAACATCGTCGACAATTAATGCTGCCATCGAGTTTATATCAAAAATTGTCTTATGATGGTTTATAAACCGAATTTTCTATCAAAACGATTACTCAGACAACCGATTGACGACCTGTAATGTCGAAGGAGGCTGCAGTCATGATGGTGTTTGTGAACCTTTATTTCCGGGAGCATTGCTGGGGGTAACTGAAACAGGGAAATGCCTAGTAAAACAAACGGACCGACATTCACCATTCAGCAGATAAGAGGAGCTTTGCAAACCAAAGGGAAGATACAGATCCTACTTGGTTGCCTGTTCCATCATTCTGAGTTCCTTAACTACATTCGACATCTGAGTGGCCATATATTACCGTGTTACAGAAGCCTTATATCAGCCTCACCGTAGCAAAGATTTCCCTAAGAATGTTGGTTCGTTTGTTCTGTCCTTCGGAGCTATGTCTAGACATTTTCATCTTGTGCACTTGAAGGCTATGGCATTAGTTTACGAGACGTTACTATGAATCTCTCCAACCTGAATATGCCGAATATCTGTAGTACTTCCTCGAGGAACAGTTTAAACGTGCTCACCCAGCTTTTCACGAAGATATGTATTATCTTCACTAATCATCTTTGTTTACTGCCCACATTTCCTATCGAAATCGCAAAACCAGACTGTCAGCGGTTGCCTCATAGTTTAAGCATCCTTACTGCTACCTATTAGTTAACACCTGCAAAATGGCTTTACTGTCAAGAGTAACAGACTACATTTAGCAACTCAGATGTCCTCCATCCATATGAGGCACGATCAAAAGCACCCCTTCCTTCACCGATATTAATGAAATTGATTTTGTTGAACTGGCTGGGCTTCGAAAAGAAAATGCATCACTGAACAAGGACTTATCAACAACTCTGAAACCAAAAGCTGAATCTCTGACATCATGGAGACATACCATCCACCTGTAATTTTCCCAACTGTACCAACCTAATTTCTTCAATGAGTCACACAATCTACGTCATCGCGAAATTTTAACTGCCATCAAACCAATCAAAAATTAGTTTTCTTGACCAAGTTCAAATGAAGGAATATGCTCATGTTTCCGTATGTTGCGAATTGGCTGGATAATAAGACTACGAAGACGACATCCGGCATTTCCCTTGCTACTGGTGTTCGTTTCTGCCATATCCATATTCGTTCGGTCATCCTCGCTCCCGAATCTCACAGAAAGACGCACATCCTTAACAACAGCTCTTATGAAGAACCTATCAAATGAAATGGCCGTGTGAACTCTTACAGAGTGAAAAATTTCCAACTCTGGAGGTACAATTTCCAAGCTAACCAACCTCATGTGAAAAATCGAAGCTCTCTATTTCTCCCCTGACAAAACTCCTAGGCTTTATGGGCTTTTAACAACAGTCTACGATCCTAAAGCTAATGATAAGGTAAAAACGGTTAAGTCGACATTTGGAGGCTGGATTATCAGTTGCAAACATTTCATAGTGCGCTGAGTTGCTACCATTAGCTCTACTTGGCAATACGAACGGTTTATTAGTTGTCAGCGAATGCAATGATGACATGCGGAACTGCACTAAGATCAACAGGAGAGTTTGTTCTGCCTTCAACTTTCCTAGCTCGCCAGCCACGCTTCCGAACGTGATACTTGCAGTCACACCTATTACGCAGATTTAGGATTGATTTATGCATGTCGAGTACCTTTACAGAGACAGATAAGTGGTCTGTGATATCTGAATGATCAGCATCCAAAATATGGAAGGAGGAAATACAGATATATCACAGACATACAGCAAAAATATTAGTTCCGAATAGAGCAATATTGGTTATTTCAAATTTGGAGCCAAATTACAAATTTAAACAATCTCAGACTCATCAGTCCAAAAATATAATCAAGTGCGAAAAGTTTCGATAGAATTTTGATTTATTATTTATATAACTTATATAAATATCTTAGGTCAAAATGTGCTTGTAATCGTAACCAAACACGGTAGCGGGTCACCTGATTTATTACCGTACACAATGGCTGCTATTGTGAGTGACTTAGCACAATTTTGCTTGCTTCAAACGCATATATGATTTATCTAATTACTTGCTCTTCACTTTAGGAGGTTGAATCTTATCCTCGCCGGTCACCAAAGTATTTGTCTGGTGAACCGTCTAGGAAAGTTAAACGGGAATCAGAGAAAGGAATACAAGAACTTCTTCCAACACCCACTGATGGAATAAAAAACTATTATATGAACAAAATTGATGAGCACCAGTTTATTTACACCGAAAAAGTATTGAATCTCCGGAGGTTAGAGGCTCAACGAAATGAGTTGAATGCCAAAGGTATGTATTTAACGATGTGAATTCAATTTTTTAGTTCGCATGCTTCGGGAAGAGCTACAACTGTTGCAAGAACAGGGTTCATTTGTTGGAGAGGTCATTAAAGCAATGGACAAGAAGAAAGTTCTTGTGAAGGTTCAGCCTGAGGGGAAATATGTTGTAGATATTGACAAAAATATCGAGATGTCTCAGATATCACCCAATTGCCGGGTCGCTTTACGAAGTGACAGTTACACGTTGCACAAGATTCTGCCCAGCAAAGTGGACCCCCTAGTCTCATTGATGATGGTAGAAAAGGTCCCAGACTCCACCTATGAAATGATTGGTGGTTTAGACAAGCAAATTAAAGAAATAAAAGAAGTTATTGAACTACCTGTGAAACACCCTGAGCTTTTTGATGCTCTCGGAATAGCACAGCCTAAAGGTGTTTTGTTATATGGACCTCCTGGTACAGGCAAGACTTTGCTGGCGCGTGCCGTCGCTCATCATACAGAATGTACATTCATACGTGTCAGGTAATGACAGTTTACCAAACTTATCTTGTAGTGGTTCTGAACTCGTCCAGAAATTCATTGGTGAAGGTGCGAGAATGGTTCGCGAGTTATTCGTCATGGCACGAGAACATGCTCCTTCTATTATTTTCATGGACGAAGTTGACTCAATTGGATCTACCAGATTAGAAAGTGGTACAGGTGGTGACAGTGAAGTTCAGCGTACTATGTTGGAGCTTCTCAATCAGTTAGATGGATTTGAACCAAAACAGAACATTAAGGTAATGTTGCAGTATTACTTCTAATATTCCAGGTTATCATGGCCACCAATCGTATTGATATACTTGATTCAGCCCTCCTGAGGCCTGGAAGAATTGATAGAAAAATCGAATTTCCTGCTCCAAATGAGGAGGCTCGATTAGACATCTTAAAAATTCATTCTCGAAAGATGAACCTAACAAGAGACATTGATTTACGTAAACTAGCAGAATCAATGCCTGGTGCCAGTGGTGCAGAAGTTAAAGGAGTTTGTACAGAAGCTGGAATGTATGCTTTACGAGAACGCCGAGTTCATGTCACTCAAGAAGACTTCGAGTTGGCTGTTGCTAAGGTAAACCATTATTTTGCTTTCTCTTAGTCAGACATTTTAATTTGAAAGTTAATTTTATTAGTATATGTATATAGTAAATGGTCAACATAGATAGATCACAAATCTAAGTTTTTTAATAATGGATACAATCAAGTTTTTGTGCTGTCATTTCATATGGAGTCATATCTCGCCTTTGTTTATTTCGGGTATTACGAATTTAAATGGAATCTTCCCACTAAACCATTGAAGCAAACCTATTACTGATACCGTAAATTTGAGTCACCAGACAGTTTAAGATACACTTCAATTTCCCCAGTTTTATATCTGTTGCATAGCTTTTGTATCGTCCAAAATGTCTTGCCTAATAGGTCTAACGTCTCACTTTGTCACTAGTATATGTAGAGCAATATGGACAGTAATATTGGTGCTAGGCGTAGTACTATGTAAGCAGGGATGGTCAGTCGACGCCTCTGTAAAGTTCCACCGATTGTGAGGTGACTAGTATGTTTAGCACATGCTAAGACATCTCCCTTACCGAGCAGTCTTAACTTAGATAACGCTATGTTGAATGTCATTTGGCTGCGGCCGGTCGAAAAAGCAGAACCAGTCTTTAAAGTTCTAGACGTCCGGTTCGAAGTACACATAGAGATGTAGACTATACATGGTTGGGCTCCTTGAGATACTAGATCAGATGGTTGGATTATTTATGATACAGTTAGAAACACGATCGGTACAAATATGTTCACTCCCTGTTCTCTAGATTCTTAAAATCCTTACTAATGTGCGTTTGATTATCCCCTTTCCTGTGTAAGATATTTAGGGTAAGTCAGTTGAATAGATTGTGAAGTTACCTCGATTAAGATGGTTAGGATGCCTGTTGCTCATACCAAGCCATCGCCTTCCTCGATGGGTAATGTTAGCTTACATTGGATTAGGTTGAAAAAGGGTTAATGGTAGTCAAAGTTAAGTCGGGCACCAATCCATGAAGTTTTTGACAGTTAGTTTGAGCCACGCACGGAGTTGTATGCTGCTTGGTTTGGATCCTCGGGATTCTAAGATGCATTGGCTGGAGACTACCGGTTATGTGACTGAAATCATTCTTTATGTTGCAGGTGCATCCACCCTGTCACCCCCCACTAAACCATCATGGTTTCTCATGTTCGTAGTCTTTCTCTTGCACATTTCTGCTTACTGTCTCTAATATGCATTTCTCCTACTTTCTTCTCTTGCTTTGTGTGCTACATGGAGTGTGGCGACTTGAAATGCCGCACATATGTGCAAAGTTCTATGTCAAAAACAGAGACAAACATTTCTGCTTATTATCGTCCTTTCAAATCTCTTTTTTTCTTTTGCCTACACTTGTATGGTGCATAGAGTTTGGTAACTTAAACTGCTGCACTTTTATGTAAAGTTATATATTGAAACTCAGTCGGTCAGTATCTCCATTCACTCTCACCACGCAGTTTATTTGCTAAAGGCATGAAATAATTATCATAACCTCTGTAGGTAGGGGGGGTTCTAACTCCATGCATCGAACTTCATAAAATTTTGTCACTAAGATTATAGCGTGATGTCAGGCTACCAAACATCTGATTGTCAATCTTGACTATGTTAGTGAACAGGCTAATTGTTGTAAATGCTTAATACTTCGAAAATCAATGGTGGGATACTGGATGATATCATTTTAAATCAGTCACAGTGTTGACTGATGTTCGCTTACTGTTAATTAAACTTAAAGTTTATTATCCATTGTTTCCTTCCTTACATTCCCTTACATAGCCAGTGTGTTAATTTCATATTTGTGCACTTGTAAAATTTGAAAGTCTCAGTAATTACTGTTGGTTTATAGGGGGTTTATAATAATCCCACTTTTTATTTGAAAATTAGATTATATTTCCTCCCTAAAATGTTTGGCTGCATCTTATCTTAATATATGTGTAAAACTTGGGCACTGTGGTAGTAAGTAATTCCATATTAGTTGGTTTATTAGATATATCATACAGGGAAACAGTATTGTTTACTGGATGACGTTTCGAACACAATTTATTACTGTTCATAATCACATCACTTATAATCACACGACTTCGAAACTTGAGTTTTATAGTTTTCTTTGTTTTCTCCTGTTTGTCGTAGGGGTAGTAGAATTTTCCAGATATCGGGGACAGGTGATGGATCATTCCTATTACATGTATTTGCAGTTGATTCGATAAACAAAGCTTCTGTTATCAATCTCTCCCTCCTTCCACCGTGTGACATTAGATTTTAAAACTGTCATCCTATCCCATTCTATAGTGCTATAGCACTACATGCAGTTACACACAACCATACAATAGGATGGGATAGGATGACAGTTTTAAAATCTGATGTCACAGGGTATAGGGAGAGATTGGTAACAGAAGCTCTGTTTATTGAATCAACTGCAAACACGTGTTATAGGAATGATTCAACACCTGTTCGCCCAGATATCTGGAAAATTCTACTACCCCTACGACAAATAGGAGAAAACAAAGAAAACTATAAAAGTCAAGTTTCGAAGTCGTGTGATTATAATTGATGCTATGATTATGAAGCGCAATAAATTTTGTTCGAAACATTGTCATCCAGTAAATAATACTGTTTCACTGTGTGATATATCTAATAAACAAACTAATATGGAATTGCATCTTATCTTACGTAGAATATTTTTTATTACAAACCCGCAAGCACCAATGTAATAGTGAATGATGGTCTAAGTTGTGAAGCCTATTTGCACGTGAAGGGAAGTGTCCACTGTTTTGTAATGTGTCAGGTTAAGTAGTATAGTGCAACAATCAAAATGAAGTTAGTGCATTAATGTTTCGTTATCCTGCTCAAAGTCTATGTCCATAAGTTCCGATAACCATATGGACTTCAACCAGGTGACCCACATTTCTCATCATAATTGAGAATAACAGTCAACAACTTTCTGGTTTGGTCTTACCACAGTTCACTATTTCTAATATAATCCTACTTATGCTAAGATAAAAATTTGTAGTTGGCGTATAGTAAAACATGACCAAGTCAGGCTCCGTAAGTTTATAATTTCCTCAAACAGAATTGAATCGTTTTATTGAACACTCCATATCCGAATTCGACATTACTTGTGCAGTGACACCATCTAGTGTGTACACTATTTCACAAATGCACTGGTGGTTGGATACCTAGGATCACAGATTCCTTATGTACTACGATCACCTTGCCCCACCACAGTTTAAAGCAAATTGCATTGTGCTAAGTTCGCAAAACACTTCGCCAACTAAACGAAACAGTTCTTATTGAAACTATGGAATTTTTCCCTTAATTCATAAACAACGCTAAGTGGTCCACGCAAAAGAAAACCTAAACGTTCGGTGGTAGTAGTAGACCGATAAATAAACTCATCTATGTGAAAAGACAATAATAAAACAGATTCATTTTCAAATATGGATCTTAGGCTAAATCTCAAAACCATCTAATAAAATGCTGTATTAATTTGTTTACTAGATATATCACATAGTGAAATGGTATTATTTAGTGGATGACGTTTCGAGCACAATTGTTTATTGTAACTGCACAACTTCGAAACTTGATTCATATAGTCCCCTTTCTTACTTTGCATTTGTCGTAGATGTAGTAGAATTTTCCTTATGTCCCTGACAGGTGATGAATTATTCCTATCACACATTCTCAGTTAGTGCGATAAATAAAGCTTCTGTTATCAGTTTCTCCTTCCTTCCTGTTATAATAGATTTTAAGACTCACCTTATACCATCCTATTGTATCGTTGTATGTAACTAAATGTAGTGGTGTAGCCGAGCTATTTTCCAGATTTCTTACCAACTAATCTAATTTTCAAGTATTGGTTTGTAGGGATTTGGTTGATTGGTTACAGGGTTTCATCATGAGCTGACATTGGTTAGAGAACCACTGGAAAACCTGGGAGTACTGGGCAGCTGTTTCACCAACCTAGTTTGGGACACTTCATCAGCACGCGCCCACCACCAGGGTTCGAACCCACGACCTTCTGGCTAGTGAGTTCGTAGACCATTAAGCCACTGGGACCCGATCCAATGGCCCGTGAATTCTAACTGCGTACTGCTGAAGAGTCCCAAACTAAGACGAAATAGCTGTCCAGTACTCCCAGGTTTTCCAGTGTTTCTCTAACCAATGTCAGCTCATGATGAAATCCTGTAACTAATCTAGTTTTCGATAGAATATTTTGCCCCACTAGTCTAATTGGCTCTATCTCTCACTGTTTTGAGACCTGATGCTTTATTTATCGAGTCATGCGAATACGTGCCATAAGAATGATCCACCATCGGTTCTGGACATTTGAAAAAAGTTCTACTATCCGCACGACAAATGGAAAGTAAAAAAGAGAGCTATAAGAATCAAGTTTCGAGTTTGTGTAGTTACAACTGATATGACTATGAACAGTAATAAATTGTGTTTGAAACATAGTCTGGTAAATAATAATAAAAATTTCAACACAAATATAAAGTCAGTTCTTTCGTATGGTTCAGAAACTTGGAGCCTCACGAAGAGTGTTTCCAACAGGTTGCATACTTTTTGTCAACAACTGCCTTCGCCCCATATTGGAGATCAAACGTTCAAAAAGAAATGTCAACAAGCAACTCTGGGAACAAAACAACCAAGAACAGATTGCTTAACAAATAGTGAGGAGAAAATGGAGATGAATTGAGCTGAGGAGATCGTTGGTTGACATCGCGCAGGGCCACCGCTCGAATGAGCGCTGAATGGAGGAACGATGAGTGGTTCGTCCTAAAGTGATATGACGGAGATCGTGCGAGATTGACTGATTTCAAAGTAGAACTTTGCATAGATGTGCAGCAGTTCGAGTTACCACACTCCATGTAACACAAAACAAGACAAGAGAGTGAAGGGAGGTTCAAAAGACAGATAATAAACAGAAGTGTGGGGTAAAAAGAATAGTAATATGGAAGAAAAGTTGAGTTTTATTGGGTATGATGAATCACAAAGAGTAAATGCATCTGCGCCATTGAGAACGATTTTTAGTCATATCTCCAACTGTCTCCAGCCTTCTTTGGTTTTTAACATCCAAGGACTCCAACCAGGAAGTCCACAACTCCCTACGTGGCTTAAACTAACTGTTGTGGGTTTCATTGACTGATTCTATGTTTTGGTTTTACCACCACTAGCTATTATCCAACCTGATCATAATTCAGCTAACATTGCCCGTCGAGGATGGCAATGGCTAGTTGTGTGTAACACATGTCCTAATGATCTCAATCGGTGTAACTTCACAAACTTGTCGATTGATTTCCTCTCCTTACTTAGCACTCGACCGATGCCTAACCTCAACATTGCTGACCCTATTATGCCACATCACACGGGAGATAAAACGCACCCATTTATGACCAAAGGCAGCTTGTCTATGCATGTCTTCTACTTTCAATGGCTATGTCTTACAGCCATGAAGGAAAACGGAGGGAATTGGTTTGCAATACATACGTTATTTGATCGATAGCCAGCCTGATAACACGTCTACAATGGATATGGCGTAAGTTGAAAAAATCTCTGCACGGATACAAAAGAATCGTGTGGGATTTTTCAACTTACGCCATATCCATCTGAATCAGTCTATTGGGGCTGATGTAACTTCTCAAATAAGTGAAGTGGTCAACACGCTCTCCCACTCCACTTCTTATCTTTGAGCTAGGAGTCAATGAGATTGTGCGAAAAGGAGATGGGAGACTATCGGCGAACATGGGATCAGTTTAAGAGGACCTCAGAGAATGGGATAAAATGAGGGGTGTTGTTGAACTCTATGTTTTTTACTTGGAGCCCAAAGGAGCGATAATATATTAACAACGACTTTAGATTTCTAGGACTAGTGATTCTGAATTTACACTAAGATAAGAATTGCCTAATATTTATATATTCTAATTACACATTGTATTTCTTTTTTTATACTATTATAGGTAATGCAAAAAGATTCAGAGAGGAATGTATCTATCAAGAAACTATGGAAATAAGTGCTTTCAATCCATTTATTTTCTAATGCAAGACCAAACATATATAGTACCCCTTTTTTGCCTTTGTAAAAACGATGTCACTATAATCCCTTTTTTCCATTCATTCTTTAACCATCTACTGTCAATAGAAAGTTGGAACTAATATTCTCCACTTATTATGTCAAATGCGCCTATAAAAATGCTTTATTTTGATGAAGACGACGATACTTCTTGTGATTAACGGTTGAGTAGGCCGATTCTTATGCGATAAACAAGTTGTGTACACAACGTAGCTGTGTGTGTGTAAACCAAGTGTTCCTTCTCATATGCTCTATTGAAGCATAATGTATTGTATTTTTTCTTTCGGTTTCTGCTGTTTTTAGTACATTATGGACAGTATCATTGGTTATCTTGTTCTTAGAAGTTGAAAAGGAAACCTCCTCAGTACATGAGTAGTTCGAAGTAGAGTCAGTGTACTGTAGAAAGGTACAAAGTGAAATAATATTTTCGAAGGCGAAATGAATAAAGGGCGCCTAAATATCTTTACGATGACTTCTCTCCCTACGATTACGTACAAAACCAGCATCTTATTGGCTACTCAGTTAGAAATGCACTATAAACCGAGGTGGTTACAGTTTGCGATGTTGAGATAGGAACAAAGCGAACATAGAAAGAAAAGTTGGGTATCGAACAGATGACAAGTAATTCCTTCCCTAATTGTCATCATTACAAAATATGTGGTAAGGTCCACACTCCGTGAAATAATAATACTATCTTGATGATATTAGATGGTTGGAGGCAATCGGTAGGAAGCCTTGGACCTAGGTTTCGTGCTAGTTGGCGCTCGTCAGCAAGGCGTACCCGCCACCTTGAAGGAACTCACATTGCAAGCCTGACTGATAGAATTCAGTCTGCACCAAAGAAAGGACTAGATGCATAACATTAGTTACTGTCTATTTTGTCTGTACGCTAGCTCGAACTAGTAACAATAATTGGGTCAGTCTTCACATAACTTTCACACTCCCTAAAATATTGTGATTCGCTACACCTTGAACAAGTTGTGAGCTCGTTTAGATGTGATACGGCGTAAAAGTAGGATTCCGTCGACATTGTTTAAGTTTGATGTTCCTTCACTGCTTTGTCTAAACATCTGCAGCATTTACGTGCTTGAACAAGTACGGCAGTCCGTCTATTAACTACCGACTGTAGGACCAAGTTACACGTAAACTCAGTCTTCCCCTAGAGGTTCTGTGGTTAGGAGTGAGAACTCTACGCTAGGATTCAGAAGATGTCGTTGACATCATCAGGGGAGCCACGTGGCCCGCTATTCCATACGAAGCGGTCTATTTACATGACTTGCTCACTAAGTAAAACGCAGGATAGCGATAGATTGCTGGCTTAGAACGATTGAGTTGCTGATGTCTTTGAAGAAATTTGCAAGACATATTTGTCTAACATCACAGGCTGCTAGTTTATATTACGTCTGGGATATTAGTGGTGAAAAGTTCGCTAAGAAAACCTCAGTCGTTAAAATCCACAGGAGAAACTTGCATGAGAAGGGTTTGACCGACATAGTCTGATACATGCGTGTATACACTTTCACAAAAGAGACAGCTACCTTCACCGGTGTTTGTGCAGTTCCTCAGGATGTGTCTTCCTTCAAGCGCTTAGTTTACTCCTGAGAGATTTCACTAGTCTTCAGTTTTCTGTCTTAAATGTGTATGTTATAGTTTGAACCAATGCGAATAAGCGGAAATACCCCACCCTAACACGTCAGTCCCAACAAAATGTAGTAGAAAGGAGTATTCACAAGCAGTGTAAGTGCAACGTATGTTTCAACAGGTCTGTGTGGTTTACATACTCTAGGACACTGTTCAATTGTGATGAAGTCGTCTCGTTCTTTGACTACCTATTACAAGCAAGTGTGTATTCAGTAACCGGACTGCACACACTTATGTGGCTACTACTTCCATTAAAGCTTTTGATGAGGGATGTTAAGTAATTTACGGTTCTTAAGCTGAAAATCAGTTAGCTCTGACAACAAACAGCACTGACACTTTCCTACAAACGGTCAAATAATCATTCGTGCTATCTCGATGTCAGCGGACAGACAAATAGACAGAATAAAAGACGCGTAAAATGTTATCACAATTGAAATGTTATTTTCCATATAAAGACATCTTATTAAATAATTACATGCATTAAGGTTCATAGACAAAAATAAGGAAATTCTCAGTTAATATTAATTATCCTTGACAGCTTAGGCATCCTTCAGGATTACTGAGACTGCAAGCAATCGCATCAGTATTGCGTTTCTGTATTTCTTCCATTATTCGAAGTTCTTCCATAGCTTCAATATTTTGATCAATAGAATCACTATTCACATTCGTTTTTGTGGTAGAATCAGTTAGCACCTTGAGTTTTGTTTTATCCACACTGAACTTAATGGGATCAGCAGCCGGTCGTGTTCGCAGATAATACATACCCGTCTTTAAACCCTGGAAAGATATTAGAATAAAAGATTAAAATGTTTTCAGAAAAAGGTAGATAGAAGAAAGCCTATTTATAGCAGCAAACAATACAAGATAAATAAGCGATGAATCCTAAACATTAACAACATACCTTTCTCCATGCATAAAAATGCATGCTAGTTATTTTTCCATAATTAGGTTGAGCAAGATGCAAGTTAAGAGATTGACTTTGATCGATGAAAGGTGCACGGTCAGCTGCCATATCAATGATTTTCTTCTGAGAGATTTCCCAAACAGTCTTATACAAAGGCTTCAACTCTTCAGGGATTCCATCGATATGTTGAATTGAACCTTGATTCAGCAATATAGCTGTTTTAAGACTATCGGACCACAAATCTAACTTTGTAAGATCCTCAAGAAGATATGGATTCACAATCTGGAATTCACCACTTAGAACACGACGAGAAAAGACGTTGCTTGTGAATGGTTCAGTTGACTCATTGTTTCCAAGAATTTGAGATGTTGAGGCAGTTGGCATAGGCGCAAGGAGAAGACTATTGCGCAATCCATATCTGTGGCAAAAAGTAAATTAAATTCATATTTAAGCTATTATGTTATGTCAATTTCAGTTGTCTAAAGTGGTATAGAATGACAAAAGCAGGCTAGTAGGAATTCGATTCTGAAATGGCATACAATGGTAAATTAAGTTATGCAATGTCATATATATACGATACCATTGAACACTGGTTGATAAAATAATTCATCTGCTACGAATGACAAGCTTCTAGTGAAACACACAAACTCACTTTTTTGAGAAAGTAACGGAGCAGTGATCTAAAAGAGTTAGAGACCGTATGGCCGGATGAACTCTGCATAGGGGGGCATAACTGTCAGCGTTGTCCCTGATAACCACTACAACTCATTTAAGAATGCAGCTGAAGTAACCCAGATGTTACAGAACTAGTGTTACTAGTCGTGCGCAAAGCACTGGTTACATTTGAACTCCAAAGGCTTCTAAGAGGTATTTTCGAAGTACAGATTTACGGACCTCTACAAAAAAGTTTGATCACTATGTTAGAGTTCCGTGAATAGTAGCATCTTGATAACAGTACGGAGAGCTATGTCAATACAAGTTTGGATATAATATGGGAATTAGAACTGATACTGGTGGCGGCCGTCCTTTTTCCCTTAACTTATGCGATAAGGAAAATAGTAACCATTATTACTTATACCAGTAATAACCCGTCCTTTAAATGTTGCCTGTCGTGCCGCTTGTTTTAACATATAAAAACGATGTCATTTACTTTCATAACACATTAAATTTCATTTGATGTAGCACACAATTCCAATTCACGACCACAGTTGTCGGCTAAATTAGAAATCAAAAGATGTAAACTCATAAACTTACTTTTTAATTCGTGCTCGTAATCCACTCCAATCTAATCCAGATATTAGAGATAATTTTTCAGTGTCTACACCCCACATATCAGGCTGCAGTATGCCCTTGCTGACTGGAGAACCTTCATAGGATTCGTATGTTCCTTGTTCAGCTGCCAACTCGCATGAAGCATCAAGAGCTGCGAAGTATATTGTTTCAAAGATTCGTTTGTTAAGGTCTGATGCTTCAGGGCTATCGAAGGGATACCTCAAAAGACAAAATGTATCTGCCAAACCCTGTACCCCAATCCCGATCGGCCGATGACGCATATTTGACCTGCGAGCCTACAAACGAAAATATGAGACATTTAGTCACCTAATCTCATGGAAATGAGAACTACTGTAAGATCAGTAGCTAGAGATATAAAATGCATTTCCTTAGACTTACATACCTCTTCAACAGGATAGAAATTAACATCAATGACTTTATTTAAATTTCGCGTGATAACTTTTGTGACTTCTTGGAGTTTAGTGAAATCAAAAGTACGATTTTGGCGATCGACAAATTTCCCCAGAGATATAGAGGCTAAGTTGCAGACAGCTGTTTCTTCAGGTGATGAATATTCAACGATTTCTGTACACAGGTTGCTGCAGCGAATTGTTCCCAAATGCTGATGGTTAGATTTTCGATTGCATGCATCTTTATACAGCATGAATGGGTTGCCTGTTTCAATCTGACTTTCAATAATAGCATACCTAAAAAGAAAACAATAAGTGTGACCTCAGTTATCGACTAACAAAGCACTGCAATAATACACTAACGATAAAATTCACAACCTAAATACTGGAAGGACTACAATAACAGAATTTGCACTAATGTGCACCTATTTAAAAAGGATAGGTAGTAGTACTGGGTAAGGTTTCTCAATACGGGCAGCGGATCAAGCTTTCGAGACTGGAAAACGAGTGTACAATCACCAAACTCTTGTTGTGCATCTCATACATGAAAACTTAACACATAAATATAAGTACGTCGATACCACCAGACATCACAAATGGTGAAAGTTTCTGAACTAATTCGGCTTATAACTAGATTGAATTCAGTACGGTAGCTAAGCAGTAATTTTCCTGAATGGAGCCTCAAATATTTTAAGATGTCTACTACAATTTTAGTGCTAGGTATTTCTTACCAGAGCTCTTGTGCCTTGACTGTTTGTCTGCCACGACCTTCTCGCTCATACTGTTCATAAAGAGCTTCGAACTCTTCCCCCCATAGTTCCGGCAAACCTGGACATTCATGAGGATCCATCAACGTCCATTTGTCGTTAGATTCAACACGACGCATGAAAAGGTCAGGTATCCATAGAGCGAAGAACAAATCTCGAGCTCGAACCTCTTCAGCGCCTGTATTTTTGCGCAATTCTACGAACTGAAATACATCGGGATGCCAAGGTTCCAAATACATAGCAAATGCGCCTGGACGTTTGTTGCCTCCTTGATCAACATAGCGTGCAGTATTGTTAAACACGCGCAGCATTGGGACTGTTAAAAGTG